GCTACATGCTTTGTTTTTTTATATACCTTATGAAAGATTTGTCTTTTTTTAGCCTGGGAGAATATAACAGTTCTCAGAAGTTGACACACTGATGCCACAAAATTGTCAGTCCCAAAGCTTTTCAAAGCTCTATGATGTGGGAACTGAGATATTTTCAGCAAAAATAGATTAAATGGAGATATTATGAGCTGATAGCCCCAATCTTCTTTTCTTGGTCCATTTTTTAAATAACTCTCTTATTTCCAAATTCTGGGTGAAGTTTTATAAATAAATTCTGCATGTTTTGGTAATACTGTGTCCTGAAATTCTGATTTTGATTCAAAGAACATAAATGTATTAAATCCTAAATGATGTAATTCTTGGAGAGTAATGAGGTGTTTCCTGATGCTGAGTTTTGAAGTATAGGTCACACTGAGGTGCTCTGTGTCACTCAGGCATGGTCAGGTTTGGAAACAGTTATTCCCTGAAAGACAGAATAGCATTTCATTACCAGTGCCAGAAGAGGGGAAAAGCCTTTTATTCCAGTTCTAGTTACTGGGAAGAATAAAAGCAGATAAGAAGAAAAGAAGAAATGTGTTGATCATTTCAGTATTAAGTTTGTATAACCTTTCTATGGCTGTATTTCTCCCCAGTCCCAAGCCTCCTACACAATTTTAAGCTCTCTCCCTTTCCAAATGGACTTATACAAAGCTCTAGTTGAAAAGTTCAATTTTTTTGTTAAAATTAAGGCCTGAGATAGCTGAATCAGTACATCCTAAGGAAAAGCAGTGAGCATCTAGGTATTCTGCTGAGTGTCCAGGCAGGCTGATGGGGGCACGTTGGCTTCCAGTGAACACAGACATCCCTTAAACAGCACCTGCACGTTCTGCCTCTCACACACTTCAGTGTCAATGCAGCTGAGGGTATCTGGAGCTGGGATAACAGTGATAAAGTTGGGATGCAAATCTGGAGGTAAACAATCTTTATGAGCTCTGCTTATTATTCTTTATGTAGAATATGATGAAGTTACAGATGTACTCTGACCTTGAATAGGATTGGAATTTTTTTTTCCCCCAATTTGTGTTCAAGTACATATTGGAATGTATTTAATCGAGTTAATAAATCAGGTTGAGCTCAGGCAGTTGGTCTTCAAAATATCCAAAGGCAGAGCACCTTCTCCAGGCTGCAGTTTATTTTGTACAAAACCTCCTCAGAGGCCAATGCAATTCACAACCACCACCTTCAAGAGTATAATTCAGGATATGTTTGCTTTAGAGCAGAGTGTTGGCAGAGAAAATTGCATGGCTGTGAGATACAGTGGCCCCAGAAACGTCCTAAATCTCAGTGTCCTTGCTTCTTGCATAGGGACAACACCATGGTACATCCAAGAAATATTCTTCAGCTAAGCATGGTGGTTATTTGGGAAAGCAGCTCAGGATGTAAGAGTTGTTCTTGTTCTGAGAGAGTTCTTGGAGTGCTCCTGGTCCTTTCTGTGAGGCAGCAAGGCACAGGACAGCACAAAGCAGAGCTCAGCTGCTCCTGCATGTGCTCACTGCTCATGGCTTTTTTTTCCCCTATGCTTTGAGTGAATTAAGGAACGTTTAAATCATTTTCTATTGTCAGAAGTTTTTTATTATGACAAAAACTCCTTATTGTGTTAGAAATTAAAAGAAGCTATACTGGAAAAAAAAAATAAAAAACTTTAAAAAACAAGACTGTTTCAGATGAATACTTAGATGGATTTTCATCTCTGGCAGCCAAAATCTTTTATCAGCTTCAGGTGAACCCATTTTTCCTTGATCTCTTAATCTGCTTGGTTCTTAGCAGCAGTTGAGACACACCACAGTGCCTAATGGTGTTGCACTGATAGTGTGTCTGCCTCTGGTTGTTTTGGACTGAGTTTCTGGGTTGTCAGAGCTGGGATTTGCAGTGTTTGTTTCCCAGCTGGGATTTGCAGTGTTTGTTTCCCA